TTGATCTCCCTATCAGATCATGGCAGGAAGTTGGATTTCGCGAGTTCCTCAATTCTCCACATAATCTCCTCGTGGATTGTTCCGTTCTATGAAACAATCGCATCTGCACGGTCGAAGGCGAAAAAGGGAAAAGTGGTTAAAACACACGGACCCAGTCACGATGAAGCAGTGTTTGGAGACCTCTTCCAATTCGCAGTCGACCTGATCACTTTACAGCGGAAACAGCCAACCCAGGAAGAAATCGAAATCCTTCTCAGAGAAACATTTACCACTTGCAAGAGAACAAGTGTTGCGGCTGATATCAAGAACTCTTTGGCCGTGTTCGACGCCGTCATTATGTACGCCGATGTTCCTGACGTAAGCTTCCCAACTCTTCTGGAAGTCCTTTGCAGCATCCATGCATCAGTCAAACCTCTCTCTGGGCCCACATCGCGAGCAGTGCGCAGTCTAGCCAAATCAAGGAGGCAGGCGGAGATGGTAAACACACTTCATGGCTTCCTGAGAGAGTCGTGCGCCGTTGAACAAAGTCGGAACTTGAATGTTCTCCGTGGTACGCTCTATGTGTTCTCAGATTTTGTTCGTGCTTATGGGCAAGATGGCATGCCCGAGGTTCCCTTTGATCAACTGATGGAATCATTGCAAGTCATTGCTCAAAAAGACGATAGCAGAGTGGATGCCGACCTGTTGGATTTGTGTCTAAATATTCTGGAAGGAGACTATGTTCGAGTCGCATTAGAACAGGATTGGATGGCATTTACCAATCTTCTCATGCTCTGTTCTCGCAGGCTTGTGGACGAGTCAGCGCCATCTCCCACTTCTGGAACTAGCTCTCAGCTCAAACCTACGTACGACGAAACCAAATCCTACATTTTGGCAAATCTCATCCGCATTGCTTCTGTACTTGAATCTCAGTGGGATCAACTCAACAGAGAGCAAAAACAACATGCGGTCCGCTTCCTCACGAAGATATACCAACACATTGACCCTCCACAGGCTGAAATCATAATCCATTCGATGAAAGAAGACAAACTCTGCCATCCTTCCAACAACTCAGATTGGGCTCAGCATTGCCGTGAGCTTGTCGAGTGTTTCGTTCAATCACGAAAGCAAAGCTCGGACATCCGCATTCTGGCTTTGGACACGTTGAAAGAAGCTCTTTCCGGCCATGAGGATTTACTTTTTGCACCAGAGAATGGTCTTCTCAGGCTTCTACTGAAGGATTTCTCGGCAGAACATGATCTTCTTTTCTTGGAGTCCCTGGTGTCTTTGGTAACCGGCCCGGCCATACAGTACAGTGATGATGATACGTTCAAGTTGTTGATAAGCACCATCGGAGCGCCGATGCAGACGGAGCTCAATCGAGACGAGCCGCGCGAGCATCCTCCGAGCCATGGATCTCAACGCCGTACATCCACCACCAGTGTCTTGGAGTTAAGCTTGACAAACGTCTGTGCTGTGGGCCTCGTGAAGATGATGCTGCGGGCCTTGAACCTCTCCTCGACCAAAGCTGTGATGGTTTTCGAGGCGCTTCTGGACATTGCTCAATCTCCAAGTCGACCAATAGACTCTCGCTTGACGGTCTTAAAGCTACTTTTCCGACTGCGATGTGACTCGGCTGGGTCAGTCACAGTCATATCAACATCGGAGAGTGACTTCTTGATGAACGTGCTGGGCCGCAATCTCGACGGTGGCTCTAAATTACAGGCCCCCAGCGATAGCCCAACCCGCGAGATTCCTCAGCATGATAACTCACCTGTCTCACCAACCGGAAAGATTCCAACGAGGGAGTCTGCGTCAACCCCTATGTCGAAGTCGGCCCCGGGGCGTGGCTCTATCTCGGCCCGTGGATCAAAACTAACGGCTCCAGTGTGGACATATGCTCTGCCACAAGTTCTTCCAGAGCAGCCACCAGGAGAATCCAGCCCTGTTGTGTTTGCTTACACCCACCCGGAGGAACTTCCCCCCGCCGAATCAACAACACCAGAAACAAGAATCACGGGGTTGTTGAAGGTTAAGATGTGGCTCGAAGTTGTGATCACTCTGTTGCAACGAGAAGCCGATTGGGATGTTTACAGCTACATTCTTACTCATATCGGACCTCAGCTTGGCAACAAAGACTTTTTCAGGGATGCCATCCCTCAGATCACGCTCCTTCGCAGCATTCTGTGTGATCAGGTCAAGAATGGAACTTTCCACGAGCCTCCTGAAACTACTGGATTGAAAAAGAGCGATGTGGCTGCTTGTATCTTCGATGCGCTTTGTATGCTTGTCAGCTACCATGAACACTTTGCTAAGAGTGAAGAGGATGATCTCGTCCGAGCTTTCATGCAAGGTATCATCGGATCATGGGGCGGCACGTCCCGTGGGTGCATTCAAGCACTGTCACTCTGTTGCTATGAAATCCCAATGTCAGTCACGAAATCATTGAACAGCATTCTTGACAGGATGTCAAAGGTGATCACCATGTCAAACATTGCCGTCCATATTTTGGAGTTCCTAGCTCTGCTTGCACGATTGCCCGATGTGTACGTCAACTTGCGTGAGGAGGAAATCCGCACTGTGTTCGGCATCTGCATTCGATTTTTGCAGACCTCTCGCGAGCATCGGTACAAAGCCGCTGAATTGGCTGCAAGAGCCTCCCTGCCAAACCAATCTCCTCAGTCTAGGCTCAGTGCTGGGGCAAAGGAAATTGCCGCCCATGCAGCTGAAGCTCTCGAGACCTCTCAAGATGGAATGTCAAAGTATATCTCGAATCTCACCTACCATGTCATGGTCTTCTGGTTCTTGTCTCTGAAGCTCCAGGATCGACCCAAACATGTGAATTGGATCACCAGCAGACTCATCTATCACGACGAACACGGAAAAGAGGTGGTAGAAGAACAAAGCCAAGTATTTATTGATTTGATGCAGCGAGTTGCTTATTCGGATCTCGGAGAAACCATCCCCTTCGAAACCTTCCCTCCTTCCCCCGAGGATGGCCCAGTTGCAAAGAAGTCCTGGATTGTCGGCATGAGTATCGTCACCGTTGAGAGCGCTGGATTATCTGGATTGTCTCAGATTACGAAGCGCCAGGCATCGGGTACCACATACTCTGTCTATCAACAGCGGACCGCCCCAGTTCTGCCGCATCAAATTCCTCCAACTCCAGATGCTCATTTACATTCCGACTCCATGCGCACGGCAATCCTTCCGAGTCATATCATGCTTCAATTGACTGCCACTGCCTTCCCTACACCTACAGTCATGCAGCCTATCCCGGTTCCGGAAGACGATATCACTCGACGTGCGATTAGTAATTTCGATCGCACCGACATTGTGGATGGTCACCGGATCGGCATTGTTTATATTGACAACGGCCAGACAAAGGAGGCTGATATTTTAGCCAATACTGGTGGTTCTGCAGATTATGAAAACCTGCTGTCGGGATTGGGAACCAAGGTGTCGCTTCGGAATCCCCAATTCAATCCGCAGGGATTGTATGCCGATACTGATGGAGAATACACCTATGCTTGGCGGGATCGTGTGACTGAAATCGTCTACCACGTTGCAACGATGATGCCTACGGACTTTGACCGTGATCCGGCCTGCGTCAACAAGAAACGAAACCTTGGCAATAACCATGTTACGATCGTGTTCAACCGATCCAATTTACCCTTCAACTTTGACACAATTCCATCCGAGTTCAACTCTATCAACATTGTCATCACCCCGTCCTCTCGGATTGCCTACGACGAAAGTGGTAATGCCAATGGCGAGACAGACCCGCAAAAGCTTTACTACAGTGTGCAGGTCCTGAGCAAGCCTGGATTCCCAGACGTCTCACCTGCTGCGGCACCAAAGGTCATCTCCGGCAAGAACTTGGCAGCCTTTGTTCGCATCCTTGCCCTCAATGCATCCGTCTTCTCTCTTGTCTGGAGCAACAAGGGTGGCGAGCATACCTCGTCCTGGAGCACCCGTCTGCGAGAAATCAAGAAAGTCCGCGAGCGGGCTCTCACGGCCCAAAGCCAAGGCTCTGAGGCCGCCGAGGGTGCTTATCCAGGTCTACGGCGGAACACTAAAGCCAACATATTCTCGGAGGAACTACCCTCTCGTGCACCTCAAGTACAGACCGATTTCGCTGCGGAATGGAATGCAGCGGCAGACACGAACATTCTCCAGAATCTGGATTTCTCCCGCTGGGCACGCTGATCTGTCTTTCCCGAGGGTCTTGACGATGACAATATTGGGCAAGATGGCCTCTGTGATCTATCCTCTTCTCCTTTTACCAGTCGTATCTACCAGGCATCCTCTCCTCTCACTCACTTTTCTCCCTTCATTCTCTCCTTATCTTACACCACTCCCCCCTTCCTTTTCCGCTCTCGATAACCAACGACCCCTAGAAACGACTTCATGTACATCATCTTGTGTTTTTTCTTGATGCAAGACAATTGTTGCATTTGTGAATACCCCCTTCCTGCCCCAAAAGTTTTTTTCTTTTCGATGTTGTGCCTGTCAGCGACTGTCGCGATTAGTGAAATAAATCAGTGTTTAATACTCGACTTCACATGATGATGCCATCTTTTTAGTTAACTAGTTATTCATTTTAACCGACGTGCCTTAGATATTAGGGCTTATTTCAGTCTAGCTTATCATTATAACCTCAAAGCAGACCCAACCTCCCAAATCGAATTTTCTTCTTCCACAAGTAATTAAACCTGTCTACATTGGCTACTGACCCTTTGCTATCCAGCACTAGCACTGTCGAATGCTATATGTCTAGGCCTAGAAATGGGTAAGGCAGATCCTACAGGCTTATTGCTCATTTGTTTATTAGAGAGCAGTCAAGGTAATAGTAAATAGCATAGCTACCACCTACTAACACATGTTCTACATGGGTTGATTGTGGAAACAAACAGTGTTTCTATATCCTAGCGGTATGATATGAAAGAAAGTGGCTCCGCATCTGTAATCAATCCAGTGGACTCTGTACACTGTGAAAGGTACTTTTCTCACGTGCACGCTTATTTGCACTTTCCGAAGGGCTCGCTGGCCAATTGCTGTTGTAGAGATGAATTAGCATGTTTTCTGGCTTGGGCAAAGTGTTATATCCAGGGCCGTACCACGCAGAGATTGGATTCACAGTTACCCAGGCTTCCGTCCTGCTTGCACTTCCCTCCAGAGGGGATCTATTATTGAATTAGCTGGGTTGAACGGCATATGATAGGTATAAAATGGTTCATACCGAGCCAGCCATGGAAAGGCCGACAAAGGCGAGAGCAGTGAGGATGGTGAAACGCATGATGATAGTAAATTTGGAGGTTGAAGGAGGATTGTTGAGGATTGCTGGAGAATTGTCTGTTGCGAGATATCAATTCAAGGGCATGGGAGGACCTACTTATACCTATTGCTTGGGGAATATCTATAACCGAGATCTTCTGATCGATTGCTTTGTTTGGTGCAGATGTTCATACCGATTAATTATAGACGGTAAAATGGAATTTATGGGGCTGCAGAAAGTTGATGTCGATCATGATCAGGGTTGAACATGTGAATTATGTTGTTTGTCTTTAATCATCAACGTTGTCTCCTTCTATGAGGACAAATCACTAAAGTCGACAAGCAGGTTCCTTTTCCTTGATATAATTGTCCTATTGGAATTGAGATCTTAAGATACATGTACCACACTCACGTGAACAAGTGAACCGGTCACTTATGACGTAATCACAAGATAAAGCCCTAGAGCGACAGATGAGAATATACAAAGTACAAAGTACAAAGTACAACATACAGGTTATAACGTATTCGGTAAGCGAGCTGGCCATGTAAGCGGGCTGGCCACCCCCCAAAACACATAGTAAATGCGATAAAGTATAACTTGATATCTCAACAACGATAACTTTATTTGATTTTATTACTTGTCGATAGCTATTGATAGGGATTTTAAATACTATATATTAATCTTAGGGAAATAGAAAAGCTGCATTATTGTGGTATGGAAAATTACAGTGCTAAAGCCAGTAATATATATATATCGTAATCACAAAGTCATATATTTCCCAAACTCCCTAGAGAGGCTAAATATCACCCAAAGAATATCAGTATATAAGGAAAAGCCTTCTATAGTCCACCGTTGTTGAGATATCAAGTTGTAATTTATCGCATTTACTATGTGTTTTTGGGGGGGTGGCCAACCCGCTTACATGGCCAGCTCGCTTACCGAATACGTTATGGACGTTGCCTTGCAGTTTCTAGAAAAGCCAGACCGAAAATAACTAATAATAGGCCACTATATCCGATGCACGGGCTTCGGGGAACGGACGGAAGCACAGGGCTGTATATATACCCGGTGCCAAGGCACTACCCTTGACATGCGAGCCCCATCAGGGGCTTAGCACCAGTTACATACGTATAAAAATATAAAAATATAAAAATAGCATTAAGATAGTTTAAACCTGGAATAAAGAACTGATCAGATCGTGCTTGTCCAACCAGAACGAGTCTTCAGCAGCAGAGCCCCCTTTGAACCCCATACGGAAATAAATCGAGTGGGACCATGAGCTTCTGGAATATCAAATTCGAAAGTTCGACAGGTTTTGTACTGAGCTAAGCGGAACATAGAAATCTATAGGCATGTAGGGATTAATTTAGAGGTTTATGCTTCAATATATATTATTCCCTCGACTTGAAGGTACAGAATGGCAATCACATTCCTTTTTTTTCTTTCTCGTACGCTTCGATATCCCAGGCCACTCTTACTGTCTTTTCGTCTTGTCTCTTTGGCAACCACATTCTTTTTCATATCTTATGCTTCTTCGATATCCTCGCTGTCGCGTTCTACCAGAATGTCATCAAGCACAGCACTTAAAGATCATTCTAGTCCTCTTCCAGTGGTATGAGGCTCTTATAATTGTTACTCTGCGAAGTATGCTAATCGCTTCGAACCCTACTTCAGTGTGACACGTGCTTCTCTCGAAAGGTGTGAATCAAACTTCCTATAAAATGGTCAGTATCACTAACCAAACATAGGTCCGTTGTGACAGAGGCAATCCATGTGGTAACTGCCAGGATAACAATACCACATGCTCTCGTCAGCGAGTCACGAAGCGAGGCAAAAACAGCAGCCAGCTGGCCGTGGTGAAAAACAGAAGTCGAACGCGTCCAAAATCAAAATCACCACAAGCAACTCCAACTCCTCAAGATCCGCATATTTCTCCACCGGGACTGCACGATTATTCCGCAACTACACCCAACACATTTCCTAGGCTGGACTATCAACAGTCTCATGGAGAGTCTCCGGGTTCCGATAAACCTCTCTCGCTTCATGATGCTCACGCCACCATTCAGTATCACCTAGACAATCTGAAATGGCTCACCATCAATCGCCGCCAGATCTTGGAATCGGGGTTGGGCCTTGCTTCTCAACTCTCAGAGAATTTCGAGGATCCCGTGCAAGTTGTCAGTGACATCACTATCAATGAAGAGCAAATAAGAACACCTTCGTTTGAATTATTAATCTGGATGTTAAAAGGTGCCTCTCTTATTACTTAGTGCTCGGTGTGCTGGTTCTGATACCTTTCAATAGACATCAGGGAGGCAATCTTTGGTTCATTTGTTAGGGATTACTTCAGACATATATCCGAAGCAACACTCAAGCAAATGGGACTAAATCTCCTTCATAGGACCGGATTGCCTCACGACCTGCTCATCAGCACTGTCTGTGTCAATTCCATGGCCTCTAAGTTTCTAACTGCCATCACCGCCACTGGTATCGACAGTGAACTGATCCACGAAATGACACATAACGTAGCCCAATTCCAGGCGGCAGCAAAAGTAGCTCTTCGGAGCATCTCTCTTTTAACGAGTCCTTCGCTGGGACTCTTACAGGCTCTTCTTTCCGGTGTGAGTATTTGCAAGCCCGGAAAGAATGTATCGGATCTAATGAAAACCAGATATTCCTCCATCAAGGATCCGGCGACATCACTGTATGCTGGGAGCTTATCAAAGCTGCGTGTAGGGTATGTATGAGTCTAGGTCTTGACACTATCATGAAGTCAGGAGGCACTGTGAGTGAAGAACAGTATTACTGTGTCGCTTGGTGCTATATTCTGGATAAGAATTTTACTTTCAAGATCGGAAGATCCCACCCTTTACTTGATATTGAAATTGGACACTTCATTTCCAACCATCAGCATCCCATCTCGGATCTCTTTCAAATTTACATGAGTCTTGCTAGAGTACAGGCTGCTCTCCTGCCATACCTTAGGGGACGCTCATCGATTTTGACAGGTGGTCTATCTTCTTCCCATGGAATTGGGAAACTTTGGTTGGTGAATATGCAACAAATCCAAGAGAGGATTGTGCATGTGAGGAAATTATTTGGACATATTTTCACTTGCACCGCTGACTTGTTACTTAGATTTCGAGTCCATATCCGGACTGGAGAGGGCTGGATGCTCAATCTGAAATATCAGCTCTCCAATTCGCCTATCACTCGATTATGACCACCATCTTCCATATCACTGAGGGTGCAGGAGACCAGCCTATTGATATACGGAAACAGTGTTTATTAAAAGCCCACCAGGGTATATCTTCACTAGTTTCGATATGTATATCTGCCGAAAGGCAAAACACAGTGGCCTTGTTGCACTGGTAAGCTATGCTCTGCACATGAAAATTAGAATGATTTCTGATGTATTTAGGACACTTCTCGTCTACCCGATCACCGCATACTTCGTTCTATTCTGCAATGTCATCGCAACATCAGATACCGACGACTTCAAACTCATGACCACGATTACCGATTGCTTGACCCGCATTGAAACAACAAGCCGTCCAATTATTCAAATACGAACGATCTTCCGGCGCTTTTTATCTCTCGCCGGAGAAGTTTTCGACAATGAGTCAAATGCAACGGTTTTAAGCCAAGATCATCAAGTACAGTCTCAGTCAACTACATTGCAACCTTGGATGCCAGACGACCTATTTCTACCTTTGACGGCCGACGCTGTCTCTCCTTTCTCCCCGTCTTTACTGGCTGGGATGGAGGATTTCTCTGAGATACCCTTTTTTCCGGAGGATGAGACGTTTATACCCTTTAGCTATCATTTTCCTGATTTCGGAAATGATCCTAGCATCTGATTCGCTTTTCTACAGTTTCAACTATCTTGGGCATATGTTCTTGAATATGTATAATGTATAGTTAACTTATCTATTTAGGACTTAGGAGTTGGTACATTGGAATACAATGCTCGTTTTTATATTTGCTAATCCGAATACGCATTAATATAGAAAGTGAAAATGCAGACTCCGTTCTGGGCATAGCCTCTAGGCTAGATGAAGTGGTTACACCCACAGTGAAATCCCACGCAAAGAATGTACAACATGCAATGCCGAACCAAATCGGAGCCTATTAGACGATAAACATCGGCTAACAAGTGAGAATGATGTAGTTTAATTTATTCGGCGCTCCAACTCATTGAAGTCGGAAAGATAATACACAGCCAATTTCCGTTGGATATTTGTGCCGACTATAAATAACCCGGGTTCCAACTTGGGAGGGGACGCATAGAAGTTGACTTAATTAGGAAGAAGACACCTATTTTATATCACCTCTACAGCGCTATATTCTCTATCAGGGGGCGCTTCATTTTAAGACATCTTTATTAGGGCCTCGTTTGGAGTACAGATTTGTGGAAATTACCTAGTGACTCTAGTTACTATTCAATAATTTCGGGTCTCTCTGCGCTCAAATGTTTCGGATCTCCCCGAACTACTAGCCCTAAATAACCGCCACTAAAGACCATGTCTTAAATCTCTCGGAATCTACACATATTAGGCAGAACTTTTTAACTGATAGAATAGCCCGATAATAGCGCAATAATATATAGCTATAATATTAAAATACCTCCAATTCCTGTTCCCTTCTCTGTGGGTCTATCATACTATCTTTTCCGAGAACTGCCTGTCACTACTTTTGGTTGTTAACCTCGCGTACTCTTTCTTTTATTCATTCCTTTTATATCGTATCTATATATTTCTATTCTTATACCAATCTGATATTTCAAATGCTGTGCTACTTGAAGTATGCCGCTGCAGGCTTGGCCGCTGCGACTCTGGTCGCAGGTCAAACGTACACTGACTGCAATCCAATGAAAAGTATATCTCATACTCAACCATTCAAAGCAAAACACCCTCTGATATATTATAGAAACTTGCCCGGCCAATCCTGGCATAACCGAGTCGAGACACTCTTTCGACTTCACCCAGAGCTCGGGTCTAGATAAGTGGACCACTACTGCCGGCAACGTCAAGACAGGCTCAAACGGCGCCGAGTTCACTGTCAACAAGAAGGGTGATGCTCCCACCATCAAGACAGACTTCTACATCTTCTTCGGTGAAGTCTCCGTCACCATGAAAGCAGCCCCTGGCACTGGCATTGTCAGCTGCATCGTGCTCGAGTCGGACGATCTTGACGAGATTGACTGGGTAAATCAGCATACTCATTCCCTCCTCTAATTCACATATCTAACCCTAATACCTATATCAGGAAGCCGTTGGCGGCGACACGACCCAAATCGAGTCAAACTACTTCGGAAAAGGAGATACCACAACCTACGACCGCGCAATCTGGCACCCTGTCTCGACACCCCAGGAGACATTCCACACCTACAAAGTCACCTGGACCAAAGAAGCCACCACCTGGTCCGTTGACGGCAAGGTCCTCCGCACTCTATCCTTCAAAGATGCCCAATCCGGAACCAAATACCCCCAGACACCCATGAACGTGCGTATCGGTGTCTGGGCCGGCGGCGACCCAAGCAATGCGAAGGGTACGATCGAATGGGCTGGTGGTGAGACAGATTATAGCAAAGTTCCTTTCACGATGTATGTCAAGGACGTCACTATTGTCAACTACAACCCGGCGGAGTCTTATACCTGGTCTGACCAGACTGGTTCTTATGAGAGTATCAAGCTCGCGGGTCATGTTAACTCGACTGTATCAAAGACGACTTCGGCTACTACTTCTGGGTAGGTTTCTATATCCTGCTTGTCTGTTGGCGCTATGACTAACAGTCCGGATCTCACTAGAAGCCTTATCTCTGCTACCAACACTGCCACGCCGTCTGGCTCTGGCTCTGGCTCCAAGTCCGGATCTAGCTCAGTTTCTAGTTCCAGCTCCCCCTCCGCTTCTCCAGCTTTTAACGCAGCTTCGAACTTGGGCGCTGGTAGATTGGGTTTCTGGTCGGTCCTTGCGGCTTTCCCCGGGCTTCTTTTCCTGTAGATTAGTTATTTGACATTGGATTCTATCTATATATCGGCTGCTGATAGCCGTTGATAGATGGTCTTTTTTTGGTGTCTTTTTCCGTTCTTTTCTTTCGAGTTTTCTTGATTGGGAATGATGTATTTCTATCAAAATAACTAAAGTATAGAGAAACGGAATTTCTTACCTTTCCTAATTAGGAAATTCCACAGACATTTGGGGTCACGTCACGTAGCTCTGTGCTTTCCTCCGACCTCTCTCGAGCTCCTTCCACTTCCACTTCTTCTTCTTCTTCTTCTTCTTCTTCTTCTTCTTCTTCTTCTCATAGCCTTTCATACAGGGAGCCTACATTCCCTGGCCAGTCTTTCCAGCAGACTTTTGCGAAAAGGCCGGCAGGGAGTCGTGTATATCTATTCGAGATATCCAAGAGATATATGACTGTATGATTCAATGCTGACCTAGATATAATAAACGCCAGATTCTTGGCACAACAATGACTAAAGCATAAATAGCCATAGGAACAGCCACGTTGAGGCAACGGATATGAAAACGAAGAAACCACCAGGCCCAGGTTATCGCATTTAAACCCAGTTGGGATGTATCTGTTCTCATTTCTTCCAAAGCGTTCTCTAGCAAGAAGAAAGGCTAAATGCCTGGAAACCCACCTCGAGCATAAATATCCTGGGATGATAATCGACACTACATCCAACAAAGTGGCAATGTCGGAACCCTAAACACAGCCAAAGGATGCGCCGAAACCCAAATATTCCGAGTCATATCCTGTGTCCGGGTCCCATAAAGGACACGAGATGGGTCAAATGAAGAGGAATTTGTTTTGGATATGATCACCTTGTCCCAACCACCTATCTCAGAACCGGCCGGGATGGTGGATTCTCTTCTCCCTTTTCCTAACGCAGACCGTCACAACCCTGCTGATCATGTACATAATGCCAGTTTGGCCTGGAACTAGCCTGGATGTGGATGTTACCGTGAGTTATTGTTTGGTGCCGTTGATTTTGTTTTTGGATTGTCTGCTGCTTTGAACATGCATCTATACTCGTAGTTTCCGAGGGGCCTTGTTGATATTATTTGTTGTCCTGGTTTGATATCATTATTGGAATTTTCGTTTCCTGGATTGTGCCTCTCGGTATCTATTCTTATGTTCAGAAATGGAAAGCCTGTCGCGATCTGTCGAGACTGTCGCGCTAGAGAGAAGCACTCTATTCTGAATAGTCCTGATGGATAAGACTAATTCCAATGTCAACGCTTTGTTAAGCTAAGATATAGATAGTCACTGTTTATTCCGGTATAAATTAAATCCTACCCGATTTCATCCGTAAGGAGGTATCTAAAGTGGATATCTAATGGCTTATATGTATTTTTTTATTATTTAATGGACCCGTAGCCACAATTATAATAAGTATCTAACTACCTCCACAGATAGTCGAACCAAAAAGAAATAGGAAAAAGAAAAAGAAAAGAGAGAAATGTGATGTAGGGCACATGTACAAGTGCGAGAGCCAGGCGATGCAGAGAAAGGGAAAGATGCAAGGGTTTTGTTGTGTACAAGGCCGTAGCCGTAGGAAAAGAAGGTTGTAGTGATTGTACCATGAAAAGAAGGATCCGGAGACGGAAATGCACATATCCAAGCATGCAAGTTCTTTATCCAATCTGAGATTAGAACTTATAGTCCCCAGCCCATAATTCCCTTTCAAAACACCATCATCACCAACCAAAAATCTCACCAACACTGAGAGTACTCCAGCGCACACCACCGACAGCAACAACCATCAAGACAATATCGACAACAGCCAGCACCACAGAGCCCATCATGAAACGAGGGCTGAAGATACGGTAGAGCATGAGATGGCGACGGAGATGGCCGGCCCACATCGTCGTGGCGAGATTAATAGTCGCCAAGTAGAGGATATGTGTTCCAGCGGCCTGTACGACATCGGAGAGGATGCGTGTGGCTGGGTTCTTATTTGGGTTTGAAGCTGGAACACGGTCGTGGGTCTGGAGGGGACGTTTCCAGAGGACGGTGAGGGGGACGGCGATAGCGGCTAGGATCTGTGCGCCGAAGGTATTGAGGATGACTAGTAGTGGGGACCAGGGGTATTGGATTGATGTGAGGGGGATGAAGGCTGTTTCCCACTGGATGCTGGAGAGGGTGGCCTGGTGGCCTGTTTTGAAGTAGTAGAAAGAACCAAGGACACCGAGGACGACGGGGCCGATGGAAGAGTTTGACAATGTTAGGTTGTTTGTGTCGAGGATTTCGAGGAGAGAGAGGATTTGCCAGAGGAGTAGGGCGATGGCGCCTTGGCCCATTGGCTTCTGCATGAGGATGATGGCGAGGGCGAAGTTGATGAGTAGGAAGCAGAAGTGGGTTCCGTAGACGTTGCCGAAGCCGAGGATTGTTACTGTTGTTCGTGGGCCTTGTTGCTGGCCGGCGACTATAGGGGCCGGTGGGCTGTTGGGATCTTCGGTGGGTTTGCTCACGTTGATGCTGACGCAGGGCTTGCAGTAGAAGTATGCTGCTGTGCCTGCTGCGAACGCGAGGGCGAGCACGAACTGGGCTAGGAAGACCCGGATGAACTTGAGCGTTTCCTTGCTTACGGGTAGCCACTCGCCGTCGTCAGCGCCTTCGAGGATCCAGAATAAGGAGGTGATGAAGAGACCGAAGCGGAAGGCAAATCCGATCCATAGTGATGCGGCGCCTTCATAGGACTTGGAGCCGGCGTAGAAGGAGCGCACGACGCTAGGCAGGAAGAGCGTGACCAAGAAAGGAATGGCAAGTTGCCAGGGAGCGGAGGTGGAAGAAGTCGATGAAGCATAGTATGTGGAGCGGCAGAAGGGCATCTGTTCTTCACGGCAAAGGCGCGAGAAAGACGCGATTCGCCCTAGGATCACGAAGAGAATGGAGTGGTACACTCCCAAGACCCGGTCCGTGGTCTGCCTCTGTCGCATGGACGAGATACCCGCGCACACGCCGAACGTAGTGAGGAAGAACAGAAGAATTTCGTCTTCCCATATAGTGTATGAGTTCGAGGCAAATCCAATAGACTGAGAAACGGTAAAGAAAAGCGCAAGCCATCCCCACATGCCGTTCGGAACGGGAAGAGGAAGGCTCGCAGGCTTCTTAATGAGAGCCGGCGTGGCTCCAAGGATGCTTCCAGCAGCAGCCAGTAGCACAGCTCCATCGACTATAGAAATCTCGGTCAAGCCAGTCAATCCCAGTACAGAACCGGCCACGGCACCAACGCCAGCACCCATGCTTGCGAATTGAAGCAGACGAGACGTGAGTTGCGTTCGGTCTGTCTTCAAGCCTCGGGCATAGATGATCAACAATACAATACTAGTAAAGAGAATCACAACACCTTGGATCATGCTTGGCACATCGAATCGAGCCCACAATCCACGGCAAGTATCAAGAGTGTGACGCTGGTATTTGCGGTAGAGTTCATTGCTAGCGCGAGCAGCGGTCGACTTGGACGAGAAGCCCTTGGAAGCAGACTTCCACTCCTCTTCTGCAGCAGTCCAAAGCAAAGCCGACTCTTCATCATCACCAGCACCTCTAGCAAGCGCATATTGGTGCTGATACCTCTTGACCTGGGCTGCAGTCAACCTGTTGACAGTCGCCAAATTTGCCCAGTTATTCCCACGTGGGCCAGAGAAAACCTCTTCAATGGGCGAGCCTAGGTTATTGAAGGGGATAGGCATTCCAAGGAGCAAAGACAGCGTCGGAACAAGGTCGATCTGAGGCACAAATCTGTCACGCGCGAATTGAGGTGGGAGAAGCGTATCCTTGCTTGTGCGTCCAAAGATGCCACGCTTAGAGTACATCCACAACGCGGCCTCAATCTCGTCATCAGACTCGCCGCCGTGGTCGCCTTTGATGTCCATCCCGTGATCTCCCATAACGACCAGAAGAGTCTTATCATCGAGCGCAGCAATGATATCGCGAATGACACGGTCCATTTCCTGAAGCTTAGATGCCATGGCAGCATGGTTAGGGCCATATCTATGACCTGCATGATCTACGCCGAGATAATGACCGAATATAACATCCCATTTCTTGCTGTTCTCCGGCCGGAGGAGCGGGAAGAGATGCTCATTGACGCCATTGTCGACGGTGTGCAAATCCCAGACATTGAACGAGTCATACGCATGCGTGAGGTTGGTATCAAAGTAGCCGGGGAACAGCGATTGCCAGGTATCATCGCCGAGGTGAACCAGGTTCTTCCCGGCGCTATGCAACTGTGCGACAAGATTGTCTTCATCGATGGCGGTTCCGGCGAAGTTGGAGCCTGCTTCCAGGAAGGTAGGCAGGGTTCCGGTAGTCAGGCCCTTCAGACGGTTCAGAGTGGTTGTCGGGGGATCCGCGATGAATGGCAGGAGGAAGGCGTTGGCGGGGTTTTCCACTGCGGTCTCGTAGAGGACAGGGATGTTGTTGTGGAAGAGGTGGACTGTGTCACTCTCTCCCTTGGAGGCGAATGGCACAGTGAAGTCATAGCGAAGGGCGTCAACTATGATGACAACGGCCTTATCAAATGTTTTCTCGTGCCAGCAGCCTTTCTGCTGTTTACTTCCCAGAGCTGTAGTGCGTGGTTGGGCCAAAATATCTTCGAAAGGTAGTACGTCGCATGATGATTTGTTCTCGAGGACCATTCGCGTCAGGAGAAACCCTTTTGTGAACAAATAAATACCGGCAACATGCAAGAGTCTATCATTTATCCAGCGTCAGTCCAAAATTATTTTTCAACGCGTCAAGCCAGCAGCGGGCCTTAAACCTCGAGCTCTACTAGGCTTGAGAAGAAACCACTCACAATATCCACGCCAGAACACCCATCACACCAAAGTGCTTGGCCTTGAACTCATCCTCAAGTTCCAGCGCTTTCTTATCCAACAGACCAGCTTGCTTCCGCTTGGACTGCCCGCTAGCCGATTGATCGGAGCTGCGAGGGGTGGCAGCTGGAAGACCGCTTTTAGGGCCGTTAGGATTTGGACTAGTCTCCATAGCCCCTGCAGGTGGTGTGACTACCATTTCCAAGGTCTATCGTATGGTCCCAAGTCGAGGTCGGGGGTAGTTGGTGCGCCAGGTCGCAGATCTGGCAGCGGGAGGCCGAAGGGGCACCGAAGGGACCGCGAACGATGAACACGGTGTGTTTTTCAGGGGCAGGGAAGCCGAGAGCAAGCGCAAACGAGCCGATTTAACCGGTTTAAGCAAGATCCATCGAAGTCAGAGAAAAAGTATTGGCGGGGCGGAGGAGATTGCGGAGGTCTGTACCCCTTTCTGTGCTCTGTCGAACGGCTTCCCTATGTATCAAGAAGCTATAACATGCACATTATTCGAAGGAGGGATGTGTACAAAGCCCAATTAGGTGGGAAAGCTGTCTAAGAAAGAAAATAATTCGTGACAGTCGCGGAACCCACGGGTTGGGGAACTCGGCATCGGCTTTTCTCATTGGCCGGCTGCGGATACGTTGTGGAAGTTCCTCCAGGGTTATAATCCGTACGGTTTTCCTCATCAATGCCCCTTATACGTGTTATTGAATTGAAAGTCTCATGATAATATGATAAGAAAAGACGCAGCATTTGAGAGAGAAAAGAGTTACCGTTGCTTTGTGTTCATCCTTAAGCTCTAAGCCGCCTTATGTTTTGTTTTGGATGCGAAGCAGTACCTCGGTCTCTTTAGTCTCGCCAACCCACAAATACCTCATCTGTCCGGAATCGTTGGGTGCACGTAGATTCCTTCAATGGGGTGCGGAAGCCCGTTTTATACGCCATCATACCTGCCTGGGCAATCATGATTCCATTATCAATGCAATATCGCTCATCTGTGGCAAAAACAGAGCCGCCCCGATCCCGCGCCATGATCCCCATCATCTCCTGTAGTCGCTCATTAGACCCCACGCCGCCGACAATAAGCACCTGCTTAGAACCGACATGCGCCATTGCGCGCTCAGTGATCTCAACCAGGATCGCATACACCGTCTCCTGTAGGGAGAAGCAGAGGTCGGCGCGAGTAGGTTGATCACCAGGTTTCTGATCAGCCTGCTCTGCTTTATTTAACCCAAGAGACACGGCTAGCGCATCAATCGTAGCTAAGATTCCAGAGAATGAACAGTCCATACCCTTGACTACATACGGGAGATCAACAAGCCGACTCCCTTTCTTTGCGAGCTGCTCAATATTGTACCCGGGGAACGGATCGTTAGGAATATGTAGCGTACGTGCAAATCGATCCAGGCAGTTTCCAACGGCGATATCCAGCGTCTCACCAAAGATACGGTAGCGTTTATCACTATACGCAATGACCTGCGTATTGCCACCAGAGACATATAAAACGACGGGATTCTCAGCGCCGGTAATCAGACGGCCCATTTCGATATCTAGAAATCGCCAAATTATATAAGCCACTCCGCACATCCAAAGACATCACAAATCTTCTAGTCAGATGTTCGATAATTCTTCGAGGGATTAAAGACGTACGTCCAACACAGTGATTCACTGCAATCAAGGGCTTGTCCCAAAGCAGACTCATCATCCGCGCCGCAATAGCTATGCTCTGCAGCGGGGCACCCATTCCAGGGCCTTTAGTGAAGCAGATACAGTCCACCTCATGTGGTGACAAGGATGCCTCTTGAAGAGCTGCCTTAACCATCTTGACAACCCATGCCCGGTGGTGACGCGCCGTATCCTTAGGTAGGAAGCCCTCGCCCGGTGGGGCATTGTAGGTGTGTCGAACATTCGCGAGGACCTGGGGAGTGCTGCCGTCTGTGGGGTGTAGGATGATGCCGATTGCCACTTTGTTGGCGGATCCTTCCATTCCGATGGCGATCATTGCGAATAATCAATGGAGGATCAGCTGACTCGAATGTTGTTTTATACAAACCTTGGAAATGTCAGTAGTAAGTTCGGCTTTACTGGGACGATTTACCTGGACATCCCTCAATTTGGCAATTTGTGGGTACCTGTATGCTTATATAATGCACAGTGAGTGCCCGACACCTGCCTAGGTGGGCCACCTTGAACCTTCCAAGTCTTAAGGTTCCGAGGTTCCAAGGTTGGAAAAGCGCGGAGAGGTGAGCACCAAACGGATCAGGAAAGCCAAGACCTGCCAGAGTATGTGTACATCTTTAAATGGGTTTGCTAAGGCGAGCTGAGAAGCCCTAATATGAGAATAGACTATACAGTTGTATTTTCAAATCACATCCTCTTTATATTCAATACCACGGGCTTTCCAGTCTCTAGAGTCTCTACGTTAGAACTTCCCTAGAAATAACATGCCGGGGCATTTGTATCTCTCATCATAATCATCATTATGTTCTACTTCTTTTTCTTCTCCCTCCTTGCGTACCGTATTAGCTGCAGTTTGCTACTTAAGCATGTTTAGCAGCCAGGCATGTGGTCACTTTGGGCTGGCTAGGCTGAGCGTATCCATGAATGGGTCAGGGGTTTTAGTGAGCGAAAGGCGGCAAGGCCGGAGCACTAAAACAAAAAGGGAAAGCCAAGAAGTGGCAGTGAAAATCCCGTAGAGATGTACACCACTACACATATCGAAAAAGAAAAAAAACTGCTGAGAAAAGGATAGACTTCAGATTTGCCTAAATACGGCGAAACATAGGAGGACTAAGTACATACATTATCCAGCTGCCGAGTACCGGGTAAAAAGGCACATGAGAAAGGAAGTAAAATGGAGGGGCCCTAAAACATAAAAATAGGACCCCATAAAGGGGGAAGAAGAAGAGAAAGTCAAAAGCAGGAATACTGTCACATGTATATCGGACCCTAGGAACGTAGCAGGGACGAAAGAGACATGAGGAACCAGACTTGAGAAAGAAAACGCCAGAAAGCAAATAGAGAAAAAAAAATCGGCAGGCCCTCGCTATGAACGATCCAGCTTCGATGAATCTTAGAATCCAAGCAGTGTGGGGTACCCATGAGTCTGTCCAGAAACCGGGTATTCCGATAATGTGCCTTGGTGAGACCAGAACAGAAACCGAAGGGCATATGTGCAAGCCATGTAGGCCAAATCGGGGAAGGAAGGGTATGTAAGAGGTAGAATCGAAAAAAAGATGGTTGCCAGGGTACTCGTCATGTTTTAAGTCGTCGAAGGTTCTAGGGAAATTGAGCGCTATGCGGGCGGTATACGCGGTCGGTTCAATTGGGCGAGTTGGTTTAAGAACACGCCTTTAATGGTATGTCTTAGTCTCCTCTTTCTCCTTCAATCCACCCATCCGCTCAATGTCAAGGGACTGGAAGCGACCGGTGTCGGTGCTTTGGTAGGGCGGGAGCTCCTCGTGGCAGGGCTCCAAACCGATGCTACCCGCGTCACTGATTCGGACAACAACCATGCGACCAGAGGTACGCTTGCCACTGGCGTCTTCTTCCTCTGGGAAGGTAATGCGGATCTCGGGCACAGGGCTAGGTGGAGGGCTGTCGGAGTTCTCCATGAGGCTGCGTTTCTCGTCATAGACAAGCACGGAGTCGGTTTTATTTGTGGAAATGGTTAGGCGACGTCTGTTGGGGGACTCTCCATTGTGGACTGGGAGCAAGTTTTGCTTCCGAGACTGACGCTTGCGGCGGAGGATGAGCAGACCACCGACCAGAGCAAGGGAGAGCAGGACGAGAACCAGGAGGGCGATGAGTAGGTCGACCATGGCGTTAGAGAGTCCGCTGTTGCTGTCATCGCGAGCCACGATGCGGGGGAATAGGTTATTCATCTTGTTGATTGTTGATTGTCGGTTGTCGACGGGTGGTCTTTCGATGTCGAGTCTGAGAAGTGTAGGATCGGAAAGCGACAGATATGTATGTGATCGTCGAGTTCGGATTCCAAGGAAGGTCACGGAATCAATCCGGGGAAGTAAACAGTGAAGCGTGATGGAATGTGCGTGCAATTTATCGGTCACGGGATCGTGTCGAGAAAAAAAAAACGGCGAAGAATCGAAAACGAGAGTGAGTAAGTTAAAGAAAGAATGGACAAGGTGAGCCGCTGAAAGAGTGAAGCTGGCACCTGCAAAGGAAAAGAATGGAGGGGATGGGTGAGAATGAAGGGAAAACAGAAAAGGGAGGAAGGGGAGAGGAGAAGGGTTGTAAGCCTAGAACGCTTTGCTATTGTTAGTGTAGAGCTAAGCTATTCAGAGCCTAGCGTTATTCCTTGGGTGTTGCTCGGGGCCTCTTGGCCACAGGGGTCAGCCAATCACAGCCTTTCAGTGCCTGGAGAACCGGCCCTCCGGGGGCAACTTCCGCCCTCTCATTCGTCAGGTGGCTCCACCGAACTATGCCTGTTTATTTTGGTTCCCCTGAGGCCCACGCTCATAACTCGCCTAAATCTTATGAAGTAGTATGTTGTACATCCGGGGTAGTATATATTTACATCATGATCTTCAAGTTATGTTTTGTAAAGATAGGCAGTCATGACCGGCGCTTAATCTGGTCACACAAGCATGAATCACTCGGATTTGGGTTTACGTTGCAATAAAACGAAACCTAATTGTGTACATAGTGGCATGATTTGTGCTCTCTCGAGGCCGATGCTCATGAAAAACTGCAAGAAATGAGTGTTTCAAAAATCCGTAGAGGGAGATTGGTTCTCATGCACCTGATCTTCGAGACATATAAACAAAGCCGTAGTACGCGTCAGCCAAACACAACTGCTAGTCCAAGTAAATAGCAACCATGTTTGTTAGGAAATAAACAAGAAGATGTGAAGAAGAAATTTTTGACTTTGAAACAGTTGAGTTATTGTATTATATGAGTGATTGAAGTTGACTTGGTTGTTGAAATATACGGGGGTGCATAAACAACATTGAAGCACCAAAAATCGACCATGACTTGATATGTTGTACATTTTTTAGATTGAATTTATTTCTTCAACCCTAAAATTGATACCATAATTAATATCGAAGTCAACCCCTATTGGATTATTTCAAAATAAAGTAATGTGTCAAACTCGGATGTTTGCCTAGGTGAACATATGTAAAATGTGATCACATGCCAAATGTATATATCACAATTGAATAAGCCATATTCAAAGAAGCCGCCTAGGGCTATGAATCAGCAACCAAATCCAGAGAAATTACCCATATACCTGAAATGCAAGATCATCATAGCTACCGTTTGCCACATGTTGGATGTATCCATCGCCTGAACTACATGTATCTTTCTTGCATGCATTTGGCCGCCACACCGGAGACACACAGCACAAGGGCACGCGGTCCTAGTGCCACAAATAAAGTGCTCAGTTACACCCAAGTACATGGTGTGTGGTATTTTTTGCTGCATTAGTCACTGCTAGATGGTACTAGAAGAGCTATTCCTTCACTATATATAATGAGTGCTGGCCATGATCTCGGGGCAATAGCCCGCGGCTTCTATGCTCGAGTATTTGGTGCACATTCCAAACTCTTTTCAACAAATATTGTATGTTGATTTGCAAAATATAATCTAGTCTATACTTTAAGTTCCTATGTGTGGGCATTTGACTAGGGTGCTGACACATGAGAGACATCAATGGAAGTATATATCGGGCTCGGGGGATATCAATTGAAGCTAACCTTGGAAGTTACTTCCCCAAGAGGGGAGAAATCTCCCACCTTTAAAAGCAAGAGGTCTAGTGTCAATATTTTAGTAGGGATTTGATGATCTACAACAAAACCCACGGCTTTCCGTTGACACCGCCAAGACCGGACACTCGAGATCAAGAACACAACTAACACTACGTCGTTATCAAAATTTGTCCATTGCACCGAGTGACATGTCCTACGCTATCTTGGCGTACATAGTAGTGGACAGACTCTGCACCTTTTATAATGCGGTCAAGGGCCGCCAACACACATTTGATACCTCACAAACCCGGAGAAAGGACGATCATCGCAGGAAAAGCAACAACCCTTACCCGGAAACTGGTAACACGGCCAACACCTTATAGTCTCTCTGCAAGCTAGCGGGTATCGCGCTCAGGACCACTGAGTGTGCCTGAGCCTACAGGAGTTGGATGCAAGGCAGGCAATGCTCCTCAGCGATCAGATCCTCAGCGATCAGATCCGGGGAAGGTTTCTGCGAGTGATGACCTGACACTTGACCTGTGCAACCCCTGTGCAATGATCCAAAGGCGAGTATCCTTGTCAAACTCTCCCTTTTCAGTCAATGTCTCGGCCTTTTTACAATCTCGCCGGATGGGATTACACCGCGATGACTGACACTCCAACGTTGACGGCAAATTTTCACTAACACATGCTAGATGATGGCTGATTTTTTCCTTCTTGTCTCTTCCTAGGCTTCCTAGGTTTCTATGGGTTTCTGACCCGGACAATGAGCATTTGGGTCTCATTTAAGAGGCTGCATATCACAGTTTACCCACAGATTCATCCAAGGGTCAGTGTGACGATGCGCCGAAGCAAGGGGCTGGAGTCTACGGAAGTCTACTCAGTCGAGAACCAATTTTTCGCGAATAATTGTTCTGGACCTGGGACCCCTCAAGGCCAGAAGCGTATTTCTATCGATGGTCGCGCGCGAGACTATTGCACAGCTCGCAGTTGGGGTTTGATATTATCATTGATCTATTGAGAGTTAGAATCAAGGGATTGGTGGCCAATACCAATACCAGCGCACGGCCACACGGTTGAAAAACAGACAGGACATAAAAACAAACAAACAAGAAAACAATTCAAACACAAGAGCGAAACAAATTCCCCCCTCCCATTGTGTTCCTGACCAGGCGGAGAAAGTAAGCCAACGAGAGACGCCTTGCCAATCCTGGAATGGCAGGTAATCCGCAGGTAATCCACAGTTAGTAAGGTGGCTCTTGGCTCTCTGTCAAGAATGTTTCCGGACCCAACC